AGAATCAAGTCTTCGAACTTTGCAATGTACAGGAGGACCCCTGGTAATAATTTCATGTTCAACTGAAGAGTTTGTTTCACTATATTTAAGATTAGATCGAGTAATTTCCGGAAATTTTTCCAACAATTCATTGTATGGTGCTTGATCATTCACCATTTGAACAGATAAAGCCTCATTCGAGAAGCTTATTGAACCAATTGATACATCATTGTCAGAAGATTTGAGAAACTTATTTTTAACATCTACAATAATACCGTAGTAATGCAGAAAATCAGCTCCAATTATTGCATTGTTAACATCTGCAATAATGAAATCCCATTTGAAAATTTTGTTTTTAAAACCAAGATTAATTTTGAGATTTTTGATTCCAAATGTTTGAATTAAAGTTCTATTAGCAGCATATAAATTGAATCCCTTTTCATTGATTTTAGTAAATAGAAATTTGGGTAGTTTAGCGCCGACTCCGAACGGCGATTGTATTTTTATGAGAAGCAGGGCCCGAATCGCGGCATTCGTGTTCCGAGTGATTAGTCGTTTCGATGTTTTCCCCACAATACAATTTAAACGAGCGAATCACACTCGCTATCGAATGTCGCGATCTCAAAAACAAATTTCGCTTCGAGCTACGTTCGATATCGAATGCCGCGATTCGGGCCCTGTTTTTAATGGCAGAAATACACTCGGAGGTTTATCATTGCCTGCTGAGGGGCGATCGCTGTTAAGAAAAAACCACTTTTTTAATTTTTTTTGTGATGCTGAACCCAGGCCCTGCGGAGTGGCAGCGCGCACTGCTAACCGGTTCCTAATACCTAATATATCAACCCAAAATCCGTGAAAAACGCAGTTTCCAAAAAGTGTTTGTTAAGACCTTTGTGAATTAAGGTAACGATATATCGATGGCTGAGTGGAAGATCGACCTATCTCGGCAGCCAGTTCGAAAACGCTCTATCTCAAAAAACTTTTCAAGAACGCCCTATTTCAGAATTCGTTCCAAAAACGCCCTATCTCAGCTGCCGATTCAGAAACGCCCTATATCAGCATATTTTCAATACATTTTGGCTGCATTTCTTTATTCATTCTGAACGTTTGGAATAAACTTTTTTGTTTATTTATTCTTAAGAACGTTCCTGATGATATGTTGACGTATATTTCAAAAGCATTCTGTTTATTCCGGCTGTGAAATGGGATTATCCGGAATGTATAAAGAAACGCTGCCTTTGAAGTGGGATAGGGCGTTTTTGAACCGAATTTTAAGATAGGGTGTTGCATATTCTCGGATTAGCCGACTCACAACCTAAAAAACCAAATTTTCCCAAGACGCATTTAAAGTAGGGATGTGCGAATAATCAATTAATCGGCTAAGCTGATGCACCAAAACCGGGTTAATTAATGAGTGAAAGATTAATAACTTTTGATTAATCAAAAGGATTAATTAATTTTTGATTAATCAGAATCTGATTAATGGGTCGATTATCGATAGCAATCGAACTTCAGTTGCGTTGCTAGCTGCCAAAACGATATTACAGATGACAACTGGCAACTTTCAACTGACAACTGCAGTTGCTCCAAAGTGTGTATACAGGCAACTACACTTTTGTGGTTGCTGGGGACGTTTTTGGAGCGTATTTAGGAGCGAAAATTTAAAAGTGTGTCATATATTTTACTTGTTAATAATTTGAACGATATTAACATTTTCCAATACAGTTTGTTTTTACAGAATTTGGTGAAAATAAGAAAACAATAACTTTTGGCGAAACAAAAGCGAACACTGATTGCAAATTTTTTCCTTTATCAACTGAAACGGGAAATGTTTAGTTATTGGCCCACCGTTTTGTGGGTGGAGGGAAGAAGGGAAGGGAGCGTGGCACCCTAAACCACCCCCATTTGAAAGGGGAGAGTCCCTACTTTACGAAAAAAGTAGAATTCTTCTTTCTGTGTTGCCAAAGAATGGGGGCTGAACACTTTTCGGCCTTCGAATACATATTTTCCATGGAAAGCTTTATATTTTTAATGCTTGCTGGGTTATCTTTTATTTTATTTTGTTTCTCATCCTTGTATATTTTGGAATTTGGGAGCTGAATGCCGCCATTTAATTTGCATATGCAACCAAACCAATTGTGATTAATTGGTTAAAATTAATGTAATAAAGAAAGTTATAACTAATCGAATAAATTGTGAACTGAAGGGGAATATAAATTGTATTGGTGAAGTGGCTTCTTTAAGGAGAATAGGAGTGATAAATATTATATTATATTATATTTCAAACCGAATTTCTAAATAAATTAGTACCCAAAAATTACAAACGTAGGTGTTTAAATAATGTGTAGATCCTAGACTACAAATGTGTGCAAATTTTGTTTGGATCGGGTCACCCCTTTGGATGCAATACCCCGAAATAGTTGGATCACTTACTAAACAGTACCAAAAAATTTCCTAGGTATTAAAATAATGTGCAGACCCTAGACTACAAATGTGTGCACCTTTTTTTTTGGATCGGGTCACCCCTTTGGACGCAATACCCCGAAATAGTTGGCCCACTTACTAAACAGTCCCCAAAATTTAGTATTTTGCCGGCTCGAGGTCAATTTTCAAAATATTTTATAAAAACACAAGTTTTTTTGGTGCTTGTTTCCGATATTTGTATTTCGATTACGCTTCGGTAACCGATATGCGAAAATAGAGTACCCAAAATTTTTCTTTAGGGAGCTAAGAAAATGAATTTTTTTAGCTCTTTGCTCCAGCTTAACTCCAGCTAAAATCCTTTGCTCCTTTGCTCAACTCCGCTCCGAAGCCCTGGTAAGTAATAAAAAATTAATTCTTAAGTGCATTTCTATACAATTTGTGGATGGAATATTACTTTAATTAAAGAAAACAGGTAATAATAATTAGTATTAATGGATTTGAAACGTCTCTACAAAACTCCTAAATTTATTTAGACTATTTAGTTGTGATAGCGAACATACATGGGAGACAGACATACTTTAGTAAATTTAAAATACTTGGGATATTTAAAGATTTTATCTGTGGCAGTAGCAATACATTTTCAGTGAGCTATTGTTAATACAATAGCTTTGACTTCCGTATAGATTAAGGCGACTTATGATGCCGGTGAGTTTTTTTGTGTAGCCTAACAAGCGTACTGTTGACTCGAAAACGGCCAATCCAGGTTTTGTTTGCAGCCTCAGTGTAATGTCAACAGCATAATCATTACTGATATCCCTAGCAATTGAGTGATGTGGTGCTGCTAAAACTGCCTCCTGTATAGAATTCAAATATAATACCCGACATTGAGGATAGGATTTTAACTGCTCGTTGATCAATTTGACCACGTAACGTGCTGCAGCCTGTACGCGACCATCGTTGGTTGGCATTTCAGTGCGTTGATGGCAAGCGCACCAGTGGGATGCAATGCCAGCGTTTTCACAAGTGCGCGTCTCCGGCACAGGAAGAAATAGACTTATACCTCGAGGCATTATATCAGCATCACGCAGCTCTTTAGCGCGGGACTTTAATTCCGGTGATCGTAAATTGTTTAAATTCAGAAGATCCAATATAGTGGCATATACGTCATAGGACGTCGTTAATCGCTTCGAGTTGATTTCCAAATTGGCAACGGCTTCGGGGTATTTTTGTTTAAACCAAGATGGATAAATGGCAACGAGCAAGGGTTGGCGTTCTTCCATCATGCCTTGGTAAGTTCGACGAAACGAGCCCCAGCGCATACCCTGGTCACTCAATAAGAGAATGATTGTTTTATTCAGAATACCAGAGGCTTGAAAACGCTCGAACAAGCTAACAAAATCCTTGTCAAGAAGTTTTGGCATATATATGAAATCATGAGTCATAGATACTAACCAAAACAGAGAAAAGAAGTCGTCAGTTTGAAGATAGGGTATTAGTTTATGGATCATTTCAAGTACTAAATCAACGGTGCGACGTCCTCCCATACATAAATCAACATTTACTGAGTAATAGTAGCCAATGTTGTTCTCCATTTCCATAACAATAGGTCGCATATAATAATCGGTTGGATTATGTTTGAAGATTGTGTCCGCGCTAAATAAACTAGTTTTGCCCACATCCTCAAGGAAAGCCGTCATATATCCAGTTCCCTTAAATCGTTTCCAAATAAATGGACAATCATCTACATATTGTAATTCCCTCGGCCGCATGCAAGATAATTTCAGTTCATCTGCCGCCAGGCCAGTAAGAAGTGGAATTAGATTAGTGTAGGCATTGTCACCTACTTTATTAAAACCCCAGAACTCGACAAAATCAAGACGTTTGCGAATATAAGCAGCGGTGCGTTTCATGTGCCGCAAAAAATTTAAATGTGATACACTACCGATACCAAGAAGCATTACCGACAGTTTTTGTGTATGTTCACTAGGTTCATAACTGCCGTCATTATTAGCATTTGAGATAACATTTAATTTTTCTTCATTTCTTACGTTTCGAAGCCGTTTATTTTCGGAAATTTTTTCTGACCTTGCTTGTATGCTCTCCGTGGGCTTTCTTTTATCTAAAGCAAAAAAATGGTAATCTTCGTAAAAGTATTTTTTTTTGCTATGCGAACAACGAACTCTTATCCATTCAGTCTCAGGAGAAATTTCGATTGATTGATTGTAAGCCAATTTAAATGGAACTGCTCCTTCGAAAGTACTGTTTGTTAATGAATGATTGCGTTTGAGTGAAGCATAATGACACTTGATCCTTTTGGTATCGTTTATCTTGTAACGGTGCATCAACTCCTCATCCGTCATTGTCCACCACAAACGAGAACCGATTTCGCTTGTGCTAGTAAGTGCTTTCTCACAGGTCAGATTGGGGGGCGCACCCATGTATTGTAGAATTCGATAATTGGTGACGTCGAAATATGGCATATGACAACCTGGCGTATTCACAAAATATGCTTGTGTAACATTATAGTCGGCGTCAACACGAGCTAAAAACTCGAAGCGATCACGAAACTGAATGATTTTTGAACGCAGATTATAGTCAACGAACAAGTAAGCGACAGAACAAACACAAAACACGAGGAAAATAACTTTTCTGCATTTTCGCTGACCTTTTGCTGCGCTGTGGTAGTAGCGATAATAGTGTTGCATGTCTCGCTTTGTCATATACTTTGGATCCAAAAGATATTTTTGTCTATAAAAAATCAAAAGAAAGTAGGAGTAAGTATTAATAATGCTGAAAATTTAGGAATACTAATAAACACAGTGAGTGTCAGTCAAAATGCCCAATGTGGTTTCGCAATGAGTGCAAAAGAACTTTTAAGTAATTTTTTTTCCGCTAATTTACAAAAATATAGATATGGAATTTTTTAATCAGATTTTCTAAGTGGCTAAGAATTACCATTGATTATTAATAATTTTTGTTGTTCATATGTACGTTCAAAAAAAAATTGAACATTCGTTATACGTACACGGTGTGCCTGAATCAACCGGAAATGAAAGATTCTTGCATATGGGTTCATTTCATCGGAAGGTCTACCGCAAACAAAAAAAATAAAAGTCTAATCTAACATATGTATGTACGGGCTAATTTTTATGCTTTTTAAATATATACTGGTTATGTAAGCATAAAGATTTTTGCGAAAAAATGGTCTTGCTAGGTGGCGCCAGGGTCGAGGTATTTTGAAAAACCGTATGTAGTTGAAACATACTAAGTCATATATTTCCAAAAAATGACTCCCGAATTGGCACTGAAGTCAAAATATAAAGTATATTCGACATAACATTCTTGTTTGATTTGCGTTAAAATTTCGTTTAAAAGCAATCTTAAGAAAAATATCGCGATGGAAAAAAATGCCTAATGGCAAAGTACTAAACCGATCTTTATGTAATTTTTACAGCAGGTTAATGTGAGCCCTGGGGGAAACATTATTAATATTATTACTTTTAAAGATAAAGCACACGCCCCTAGCAGAAATAAAATTTTTATTCGTCATATCCCTCTAACTTTATTGGTCATATCTTTAAACGTTTTTTTGTTAAACAAAAAAATGGATTTCGATCAGTGATGGAAAAGTATGCACAATACTGTGATTTTTGGCATTTTCATTCTCAGAGGCACTTTTGGCACAATTCATCCAGTTTTGGAACAGTCATAAATTATAGAAATTATAGAAATTTAGCATAATATGCCAATATATAACAAAAAATTCACTATAAAATCGAATTTTTTGACCTAAATTTACAGGTCGCGGCTTCTAAATGACCTTTTAAAAATCTATAAAAAATAGGCAATAATATTTCTCATAAAAACAAAAAATATTAGGGGATAGGGTCTTGACATTTCTAAAAAAAAAGCATTTTCGATATGCACCCTAATGTTCATATGGAAGAATAGTGAAACTTTTCTAAAAGGATAATGGGTTTTATTTTTTGACACTTTCACTAGAAGTATTGTATTCAATAACGAAAGGATGCCTTAAGTCCTTTGATCTGGTATAAAAACTATCGAATTGGCCAACTAAGAAATATCCACAGATCGCAAACTTTTCCTAAATTTGTAAACTAGTGTAAGTAGTCAGTGATAGTGAAACTTTCGTTCCCTTACCACTCCCCATATAATGATAGAGAAAATTCTAGTTCATTATCACTAGTGCTAGTGAAATTTGAAATGCACTATCACTAACCATATAGTGGTAGTGAAATTTGAAATGCACTATCATTGAAGCTCTAGTGGTAGTGAAAATCTCGATTTAGTGCAGCGTGCCCAACTCTGATTTTAATTCATCTTAGATAAGTAAAATGGTAATAAAATATTAATATAAATTAATATGTAAAACTTTTATACTAAAAAATTTAACTAAAAGTAAGAAAAATTGGGCATTTTTCGAAAAGGGCCCGTTCGATTTTTCTTGATTTTGGATTCAAACAGTTTGTAATTTCATTGTCTAACAGAATCAGTTAAAACCAACCCAAATTTCATTTACGGTTGATTCAGGCACACTGTGGATATGTATGTACATATGTATGGAAATGCCCAAGAGTGGCACTCACTGTGTGTAGATTTAGAAAGTCATGCCTTATTAACAAGAACATGGAGTGATGCGCTATCACCTATGCAGTGGTAGAACAATATATAGCCGCACCACATTTTGAGAAGTTTTAAAATATAATTATTTAGTTATTTAATTTTGGTTATTATTTTATAAAAATATAGTTAGTTTTTTAGCAAAACCCATGTAAATCTCAGTTTCAAACCTAATGCAATCAGTGGCGGATACAGGGGGCGATTTAATTTTCTCCTTCCAAATTTTCGGGGAAAATGCTACTTCCTGAGTGTTAATTATTGGAGGATTTCTTTCTCGGAAGAAATAAATTTCCGGAGAACAAACTCCCTAGGAGTATTCAGAATTGGGCTATATAAATGTATGTATGTATGTCAAATCGAACTTTCTGATACTACTTTTTGTCTATTTCCGCGGTGCACGTATGTAGGAAATTTCACTTTCAACTGTGTAACCAGACATTTGTATGCGCATAAAAATGTTAATGACTTGAAAAATACAATAAAAATTAAAAAGTTAAATTAAAAAATTAGAAGTTTACTTCTCCAAGCGCCCTCGCTTGACTTGAATCGTGCTAGCGAAGCAGTCAATGGCACTTTGAATATTCTTCGAAACTATAGAGAAAATACTGACACACATTTTTCTGATATATTTTCAAAAGTTACCATATAATTTTACTCGATCTCCGAGAAAGATTGCCAAAAGAGTGATTAAACATTTTTGATTTGAACTTATTACTTCCATCTAAAATTGGGGTGTATAATATGTCTGACGAAAAAAATAATGCTATCGAACGCGTAAAATCGCTTGGAAAACGATACGAACTTTTCTTAGAAAAAGACGGTATCAATTTGGAAGGAGAGTATAAAGTGTGGTTGGGACGATGGACAAATAAGGAAAGCGAAATGCCTTTCCCAAAATCAGCAGCAGAAGTTCTTGGTAAATGCGACCAATATGCTTTTCCATTGATTAACAAACTCCTCCGCATTCTGGTCACACTTCCAGCTAGTAACGCTACTTCCGAACAGAGTGTCCCGATTTAGCAATTTCACGCTAGATATTTGCGTGTAAAAATTTAGGAAATCACCATTGACGATTTTTGGCGGTTTTTCCCTTCAAATAATTTTTTTCCAATTATAAAAATATACAAAACTCAGTTTTCCACGATAATTTTACAGATGAAGCTAATGAACGGCGTGATAAACTTGACTTACGCAGCTTGTCAAACATTTTTAATCACCCAAATCGAAGAACTTTTGAAACGATTTCCTAGTCAATTAAATACTTTTAAAAAAGCTCTGAAGAATTTTGGATAATTGCTTACGGAGTGAAAACCGCAACAGGCAATAAAATGTTTGAAAATATAAGTAAGTAGCCTTCATATTGCAAAATGTGTTGAAACACATATTTTGTAAAAAGTATGCGTAATTTTAGAGAAAATTGTTTGTACATCACTATTACATAAGTGATTTGTGTTATTTATTAATACCCTCTGAAGCTATTATATTCGTTTTTGGTTATAAAAACTATATTATAACAAGATCTCATTTTTAAAATAAATGATTTGTTAAATCGATTTCATGAATTTTATTTAAAAAAATTGGCGATTTTTTTTCAGAATTCTGCTTCCGAAAGAAGTTTTTCAACCCTTCGCCGGTTAAAAACAAGGTTGCGTAGTACCATCAATGAAGAAAGACTGATAGGTCTAGCACTTTTACAAGTACACTTAGATATTGAAATTGACATTGAAAGGATAATAGAAAGATTCGCAAAAGGAAAGCGCAAAATTGAATTTGCAATTTAAATTATTACAATAAAAATTCTGAATAAGTTGTTAAGTTACTTAATTACATCCTTAATTTTTCCAACATTGTAAGCAAGAAATATGTAAGTATTTATATGTACATATATATTGCATTAATAAACCCAAGGTATAACTTAAATAGTACATGGAATTGTTTTATTAGACCTTGCACCAAATTCAGAAAATGAAAAGTAATATTATATCACAAAACACTTTACTTCACACTTCATAAAAAATGCTCGAACCTATATTTGCATGAAAAATAAATTAGGGTTACGTACACGAAAAACGGTTTTAGCGGTCACTTTTGCTTGCTATATGCCATTTATAACTATTCTTACCCTTCAAAATGCGTCTCCGAGTGGAGCTTTACGATTTTTCCTTCAGAAATTAATGCCATTGGCAGATGACATAATGAGTTAGAAAGCATATATATATATGTAGTTGGTTTGGCGATGTTAGATTCGAGGACACGGCAGTTTAAGTGGCCGTAACTCTTGAGGGAAAAATCGTATAGCGCCATTCGAGAGTGCATTTTGTAGGATAAAAATAGTACTAGAAAAATACTTGAAATAATTCTAATAGATTTTTACTATTTAATCAGACAATCTTCTTCTTCTTTTAGCTTCTTATTTTGCTTCTTTTGGCATCGTTCCTTTTTGAAATAATATAATTCTCGCGCTTTTTTTTTCTGCGTAATTTTTATTTCCTGAGCCTATTTGAGTTAGGATGAGGGTGCGTTCCAAAACGTCAAAATACAAAGCAACAGTCTCTTTTATTTCTAAACCACACTAGAAGAAAAAGTCTAACTTGCGCAACCTAGTAGAAAACTAGCATCTAACCGTGGTTGCGCACATTTGGCATTAAAATCTACTGAGGTCTAGAAATAAAAGAGACTGATGCTTTGTATTTTGACGTTTTGGAATTCACCCAGAATATAAATTTTAACTATGGATCAATAGCATGTTGAATAGCTTACAATGTTGCTTTTAAATCAGCCCTATCTCTAACTGAATAAAAAATTAATTTTACCTGAAAATTTAATTAGTAAAAAGACTAATGTTGCAAATAGTTTAACACCGAAAACCATATATGTAATACTTCTATATTGGCAATACGTTGAAAGTACATCCGCCAACATTAGAGTGCAGATATATAATGATAGAACGAGAAAACCAATCAACCAATGTACCCAGAATGATGTTTGAAAGGAATAAAAAATCAGGAGCGGTGCAGTAACCGTCGATAATTTAAAAAATTAAATTTTAATTAAAGCAAAAAAAATTGTGTGGAACTTTTGAACAAAAATGTAAGGAAAAAGAAATC